ATGTGTAAGTATTATAGTAAAAAATAGAATAAAAGAAATTGGAGAGTAAAATACTTAATATTACGTAAAGAAATTTGAGAGTATAATACTGAAATATTGCGTAAAAAAATTTGAGATTGATTGGTATGAATTTGTAAAATTTTTCCCTGTACTTATAGACAAAAAAAATATCCGTTTTAACTATATTTAATTAAAAAATTCAAATTTTTGACAAGAAAATTCAATTCAAAAAAAATTTACTAATCATTTTTTGTGGTAACATGCACATATCTAAATTGTAGCTGCCTGTGAAGCAGCTTTGTAGCTGCCTGCACCTTTTTTTTGAATTTAAAAAATAATAATAATAATCTAGACACGGGCCATTTCGGCCGGTGTGGCTCTCCAGGCCGGCTCGGGCCGATGCCCCAAAGTGGGGCTCGGCCCTAGCCTCGGCTCGGTGCAACCGAGCTCAAGCCGGCCGGGCTCAGGCTTTTTCCGAGCCGCCCGAGCCCCCGAGCCTTTTTGCCACTGCTAAATATAAGTGGTATGAATATATAATATTTAAATTAATAAATTTTGTAAAGATAATGTTGAAATGTAATTTGGATTAATATAATATTTTTTTAAAAAAAATTAATAGTGATAGATTTAGAGTGTAGTAGATATATAAAAATGATGAACGAAAATAGCTGACTCCCTTTTATCTAGCATTTTTGTTTATAATAAGTCGAAGTAGGTAAAAATTAAAATTTAAGTCCAAAGAGAACAATTAATTTTTAATAACAAATTTTTGGAGATCCATAATTTTTTTTCAACTTTTCAACCATATTTTCTTATCTTTTATCAAAATCTCCTAAATTTGATTTTTAGCAAAAACAAAAAGCAAGCACCTTATTAAAAAGAAAAAAAAAGGTACAATATACTAAAATTTAACAATAATGCTACATGTACATCAAGTTTGATATCATGTAAGTTGATAAATTTTTGTACATTAATTTTAACAATATTTTTTTCAATCAGTGGCCAATGTACGAGAAACATAATTTAAAATTTAAACATGTTTCGTTTGTCACTCAACAAGCCTATATTCCTAGTATTGACTTTTCAATGCGATGGTATAATTTTTTCAACGCTTGGGGTGAAGATCGCAAATAATTATCATGGCTAAGACGAGGCCGGGCAATTTGGTATGGAAGTGGTCAACAAGTTAAAGGGCAGACTTGTTTGACCGCTGAAGATTTTGTTCTAAGAGGCCTTCCAAGTTATAGTCAAAGGGCAGACTTGTTTGACCGCTGGAGATTTTGCTCTTAAGAGGCCTTCCATGAAGTATAACTTGGACTTGGCTTGCAGTCTAATCCAACCTAAACCGTCGCCTTCTTCCCTTACCAGTTTCCTGTAAGGTGATTGAAATATTTATTGAATTTGAAAGATTTGGGAATTTGAATTAGGACCCATTTGGGTTGAGCCTATATCCTCCACATGACCACATCTGAATAAGTGGTTGGTCTAGGGACTCTAAAAGAATTTGTCAATTATGTGCCACGAAATCTGTCTTGCAAGATTAAAAGTTCATGGTTGTTCTTATGTAATGGTTGACCATAAATTTTTAATCTTGCAAGACAGATTTAATGACATATAATCAACAAAGCTCTATGGCACCTTTTCGAGTCTCTAGACCAACCACCCATTAAGATGTGGAGGATATAAGCTCAGCCCAAGTGGATCCTAATCCTAAGACTCGTCACATACATTGGAGGAATGCAATGCATGGTTGTATGATAATTGCACTAGTTCATCAAGTGTTGGCCAAAGTGACAGTAGCTTTTTATCATATCTAGTGTCCATAGCAATTGAGAGCGTGTACAATGAATTTGGTGTCGTGGTATCAGAAAAGAATGAAAGGGCACGGTTAAAGATTCTAAAACAAGAATATGTTGAACTTCACAAGTTGATAAGTATGAGCGGTTTTGATTGGATCCTGACACTGGACGTGTCATAGCCGAAACACTAGCTTGGGAGGAGTTTCTGGATGTATAATATTTCATCGACAAATAAACTTTTAGCCATTGCATATTAGTAGTATAGTTTCTTTTGGACATGACTAAGGATAAAACGTATTTTCCCCTCCAATTTATTTATTTATTTTTGTAGGAAAAACCAGAATGAAGATATGGATCCAAGGCCAAATCGTGCAACTAAGCATAACGCCGAAGGAGGAACCAACAAAATTCGACATAGACGTACACAACCCAATGTTAAGAGTCTTAGTGCCCTATCGAGCATTGTTGAATCCTCTAAAAAAAATGCTAATGTTATGGAGATTCAAGCAAAGTTAGATGCTCAAAATCACATCAGTTGATAATTGGTTCTAGAAAAACTACAACACGAGTTTGACTAATGAAAAATTCATGCATGATTAGTATTTGAGAAACTTGGCCCCGATCCACCGCAACTACTTTAGGATTATGACTTAATGAGTAGTTGGTGTCTAATATGTTTGTTGAAAGCGTGTTTAACTTATAAGGCATAACCTAATTTATATTTCTAGCTTTTTTGTAACATGCGTGTTATTTTGTTTTATTTTGTTTTTTGTGGGAACATGAGGATTTAGACATTATTTAGAAACATACATACATTTTTTTTTATAACCGTGGATGTCCCGAACCAACTTGCACGCACATCGACTAATCTTACAGAGTCCTGAAATTTACAATCGAGTATTCACCTTAATGACCTTGAGGGAACTCGAACTGGTGACCATTGGGGAGAACTCAAAGCATGACCAATTGAGCAACCCCTCAAGGTTGACATGCATACATTGTTTATTGTTATATAATACGCTTTTAATAAAATCTTATGCCCTCTAAAAATTAATTATAATTTGTTATGTAAACGTCTAATTCTTGTTTGGAAAAGGTTTTGGAGAAAATGTACAAATTTCATGAAAAGAGTGACAATTTCCACGAAAAATAGTGAATATCAAACAACAAAAGTTGGGAAAATTAACTATTTTCGTGGAAAATAATGGCAATCAAACACCAAAAAATTAAAAAAGTGTTGAAAATTAAGTCAATTAAACACATTTAATTGACCTATAACTTATTTTCTTTCCACGTAAGTTACATGCTTACCACAAACACGCCCTAAGAAAGACTCAATAGTTAATAAGACTGCATGACCTTCAGATTCCGACAGCGTATCATTACAACCAAAATAATCCTTGAAAACGTTAAAAATAACTCTTTGAACGAATGAAGATCTCAAATTATGCATCCAACAATTAGAAACACTACCTAAAAACAGATTCTTCTAATCAAACAAGCTGAATCCCATGTCGTCATCGCTCTCCTCCTTCGGCTCCTCCTACAAATTAAAAAAACGACACTCGGGCATCAGATATTTTAATTTACTCACTCTAAAATCAATCAAACATTTCTACCTTCTTCTCCTCGGCGGCAGGAGCAGCTGCGGCAGCGGCACCACCACCACTGCTAGGAGCAGCAACGGCAACGGCACCTCCACCTCCTCCAGCACCAACGTTCGTGACAAGGTCCTCAATGTTCTTCTTCTCACAGAGCTTAGCGAAAAGACTAGGCCAGTATGATTCCACAGTCACGTTAGCCGCTTTCAACAGTGTCGAAATTTTCTCAGCCTAAACACGAAAACATACAATTCAATTCCAAAATTATTCCGATGAATCTAATTACATCTTTGTGTATAATATGGTGTTGGAAGAAAGTTTACAGTGACAGGAATTCCATCGTCGTGAAGGATCAAGCAAGCGTAGGTGCAACCGAGCTCTCCAACCGACATTTTACTTCAAATCCTTGTGATCTACAGAATATGCAATATACCGAAAATGAAAGATCGAAACAAATTAATCGATATTAGGAATGAAACATCAAATTGTGGTGAGAACAACTGAAGAAAACCTGAGTATTAGCGTCGAAGCAAAACTCCAATACTACTATTTGGCCGAGATGGAGTGAATGGAAGAATATATATGAACCAAAACTAGGGTACACAACGGTGGTTTAATGGGCTGGTTCTTTTTGTGGGCTAGTTTTTGGAGGAAATTTCATGGGCTACTTTAAGTAAAAGTTAGCTAATTTTCTAAAATTCATTTTCTAACATGCATTTTATGAAGAGGAAATTACACCGACACAGGTTTTTAAAATACCATTTTCATAAATCCAAAATCATATTTAATAATACATAAATCAGGTTTTAATTAATAATTTTTAAATTAATTTTTATTTAAATCAATTTTCAAACCCTATTTAATTCATTCTCTCACCACTCTCTCTCTCTCTCTCTCTCTCTCAACCCATTTTCTCTCCCTTCCCTCTATCCCCGTCGCCGCCACTCC